CCATCGTCTTGTTTTTCATTGGCTTAATTCTCCGGCTCTGCAGCTCTGCTGGTGCTGTTCTGGCCAGCCTCTCTTCTCCTCAGTTGACCCCCATTTCTCCCACAGAGCTGTCTGCTTTTTTCTGATCTTTCGGTTTCAGTCACACCCTTGTGGTTATAATGCAGTTGTTCCTCTGTTCTGATGCTGATTTTTCCTCCCTCATGTCACGCTCTATCTAGTACCTGTTGTCGCCACAACCTAGGGGACATTGTATTTCCTTCTATTTGAAGTGAACGTGAAGGGTGACCATGAACTTGTCTGTCCCCATAACCTTCAATCACAAGTGTCCCCATTCCTCTCTATTTTTCTGTATTTACTTTGAAAAAGTAATTTTCCGTTCCTGTATCTGAAAGCAAGGTTTTTAAAATGACTGCCCCTTGCCCTCCAACCCTCCACTGGTGAGACATTTCACATTCTTGCTCCCCTGAATTCCCTGCTCTCCTGTGTTTCTCATATTTATTCTCCTAGAACATGTCATGGTGGTAACTTCAACTGCCTTTGGCAAAGTTTGGAGACACTGTGAATATTCTAAGACTGGATTCTGAAAGATTCTCTCCTATGGTCCTACCCTCTCTATTCACTCATCAGAACCTGGAAGGCCTCAGGAAGAGATGGACTATGAAACCACTCTCCAAATTCTTCTCCTAAAATTGAGGTGCTGCTTGAATTCTCAAGTCAAGGAGCACGGTCTTGTTTCCAGAGGGATGAACTTGCAGGATTCATTCCCAAAGGAAGTTCCCCAGCCCGGATGTTAGAGAAGCCTGTGGGATATCTCGCCTGCATGTGGAGTCTGCCACTGTGCTGTCTGAACCCTTCCCTTCCTCCGACAGGGCCTCCCCTCCCCTTTTGGTACCACTTCTGAGCTCATGGCCCTGATGGCATTACTTCCCCATGTCCAGGCCGCAGGACCCAGGTTTAGGTTGGACCCCTTGACCGGCCATGTTCCCCACCTTAGTGACCTGGCCCTCTAGTTCCTTCCTACCCACTTCTGGTCACACTGGCCACTCTCTGCCAGAGACACAGCTTCTCTGTCATGTCTTCAAGACACCTCAGCTCCAGCTCGTAAGTCAGTGAACTTCTGAGTATCTCCTCTTGAACTGGCCTCAAGGCACCAGTCAGGGTTCTTTCTTTCCCTGGTTTACCTGAACTATGTGTGAAACCAGACAGTCTACCTTGAGACTCTGTCTTTGATGCACCACCTACCTCAAGATGCTTGAGGTAAGGGAAAGAAAGAAGGAGACAGTGAGGCACTGTGCCCTCAGCATTGCAGCAAGGGCACAGTTACCCCAAGGGCAGGACCCGGCTCTGCCTGTGTTTTGCTAACTCTTATGTCTCTCCCCAGAGTAAAGACTGGAACCAGCAGCAGATCCCTTGGGATGCTCTGGGCATGGCCTCTGGAGCCCCACAACAGAGCAGCCAGATGGCAGAGGAGACTCCAGGCTTCCTGGACGCAATTCTCCGTGACTTCCCAGCCCCGCTCAGCCCGGAGAGCCCTTTGCCATGGAAGGTCCCAGGGACGACACTGAGCCAGGAGGAGGTGGAAGGCGAGCTGATTGAACTGGCATTGGGCTTCCTGGGTGCCAGGTAGGCCATGCACCTGTGGGGAGAGGCAGCACCAGGCAGGAGAGAGGGATAAGGCATAGGCCACATGCCCACATTCCCACCTAGACTGTGGCTGCCTTCACTCCCATGTGCCAAATATGATACTTGCACACATCCCAGTGCTGGACTGGTTTCCCAGGGCAGCTGTAACAAGGTAACACCCACTGGGTGATCTAGAACAACAGAAGTGTATTGTTTCGTGGATCAAAGTGTCAGAAAGGTCTGAGATGGTCAAGGAGCATCTCCAGGCCTTCCTTGAGCTCCAGGTACCACCAGCAGTCTTTCCTGTCCTTCCGCTGTAGGCACATCTGTCCACTAGCTTTCCTCGCCGGTGGGGGCCTGCCATGTGCCTGTGTCTCCACGTGTTTCTTTCCCTGTCTGTGTGTCTGGCATCCCATAGGGTGCCGGTCCTGTTGGATATGGGGCCCACTCTGATCCAGTGCGCCCTCATCCGATCCCCACAAAACCTAATTCTAAGTCAGGTCACACTGAGCCACTGTAGGTTAGGATGTCAACATGTCGATTCACCCTTGATAGATGCTAAGCAGTAGAGTCTGTTTCTATCCTGTCACAGACAGGGAGGCCGAGGCCAAGGGAGTTGAGGGATGGAGGCCTCAACAGTCTACCTTGAGTCTGCCTCCACGTGCACATTCCCACCGGGTTCATCTGCCCCGCTCCCCCCTGGGTCCAAAGCCCCAAGCATGTTGGTCCACAGAGGGGATTCAGACTTTAGTGAGAGCCTTTAGGACAGTGTGCAGAGGTCAGATGGCCCTGCTCAAGGGCATGGGTATTTACATCCTGTCCCCCTTGGTTAGCGTCACAGCTCAGGTGGCCCCAGGCAGTGCAGCCCCTCACACTAGTTATTTAGGTTCTACTACTTCTCTGCTGCTGGACTGTAAACCTTGAGATGGGTATAACTGGCCTGTACTCAGACACCTGGGCGTTGCACATGCCTTCGCACATGCTGACCAAGTCAGGCTCGAGCACCCCAGTGGGTCAGACAGAACCCCGGGTGCGGTGGGAGGGGCGCAGGAAGTGAGGCCGTGGCCGCCCGCCAGGCATTGTTCTGGCTGGAAGTTGCCTCCCCGCCTGCAGCAGCACTGGCAGTCATGCAGGAAGGCGGCATGACCTCACACGGATGCAGGGGAACAGATACCCCTTCTCCCAGCTGTGAAAAAGGAAAACCTTGGTTGGCAGGAAATCCCCAAATAGCACAGGAACTCATTCCTCATGCCTCGGCTGGTTGTTTTTCAAAGGCAGTTCCAGAGGCTTCTCCCCTGAGTCACCCTCTCATTTGTGGAAATCACTCATTCATCCCAGTGGATTCCTAAGACCATCAGTAGACATTGTGGACGCCCAGCCACAAAGGGATGTGACCCGTCACACGGGGGTGCTTGGGAGATCCCACTCTCGGGGATCTCAGGCAGAACCACTGTCAGCCATGCGTGCTGGTCTTGGTGCTTCCACAGGCCTGGACATGAATGAACACCGGTCCTCTGACCTGCCAGCAGCTCCCACTGGCCAGGGGCACAGATTCCAGGGTCAGGATTCATCCTAGAAGCTGTGGGGAGCTGGTTCCCAAGGCTGGGGGGCTGGACAGGCAGGGCTGGAACCCGCCAAAAGGTCCGTGTATAACAGTTTCCAACAGCCTTCCCTACTGGCCTTGTCAGCTGGCCTCCGTCCCTCCACCCCAGACACTCGTTGGGCATTGCCACCTCCCACCTCACCTGTGCGCAAGGTCCCGTTCTCTCCCCTCCATTTGCTGTGCTGCCCCTGGGCCTCCATGGTGCGTGGCCTGCCTGTGGCATGCAAAGCCTGTGACCGAGCCTCGGTTCCTGGAACTACTCCTCCATGGCCCCTGTAGTTTCCCATATGGTACCCACTTCTCCAGCTGCTCTTGGCCCCCTTATTGCCAGCTGCCCTGCCACTGACTCCCTCATGGGCAAGCTCCTGCAGCCCCTTTGCCACCTTTCTTTTGCCAGCCTCCAACTCTGGAGGAACCCAGGACTCACTGTGAACATGGAGCCCACGCCTGCCTTTTGCCCCCGCTGGCTCTGTCCCCTCCTGTCTTCAGCCAGGACCTCAGCCTGCCCACCCACCCCCATGTCAAGGCCAGAGAGACCTACGAAGTCCATGCCATTCACACATATCCCTCTTCAAAGCACACTCGAGTCGTGCTCCCCGTGCCCTAGCGCCTAAATCCTCTCCCTGTGGCCCTTGTGCCGGCTGCGCTGTGGTCTTTGCCCCAGGGCCCCACAGATGCAGCACAGCCCACTTCTCGTGTTGGACACGCTGACCGACGTGACCCAGCCTCCAAAAGCAGCCTGAGCTCCCACATTCCCTGGATTCCACAGCCTGCGGGACTTAAGCAACAGAAATGTATTGTCTCAGGGTTCTGGAGACTCTGAGTTTGGGGTCAGGATGTTGGCAGGGCTGGTTCCTTGTGGTGGTTGCTGGCCGTCCTTGGCTTGAGGCTCATGGCCCCAGTGGGTAGCTTCATCTTCATGCAGCATGCCCCCTGCACGAGGGTGGAAAATTTCTCCTGATAGACACCAGTATCGTTGGACTGAGGGCCATCCTAACCTCGGCTTACTTAACTATATCTGTAACCACCTTTTTTTCCAAATAAGATACATTCTAGGGCACTGGCAGAGAGTGGGGTGAGAACTTCAACATGTGAATTTGGGGGGGACACAAGTTAACCCATAAGCCTCTCCAAACCCCAGGAGTTCTCAGCTGGCCAAGTGCTGTTTTGTTTTTTGTTTTTTTAATAATATAGTAGTTTATTTTTACATCGTTTTGTGCCTTTTTCCATCTCAGTTGTCATCCCTGTGGGCAAGCGTCATTTTAAGGTTGGATATTGGGCAGTTTTCATGGCCACCAAAGCCAGGGGACACAGCTCACATACTGGTGACAGCCCCTGCCCAGCCACTCAGTCCACATTTGATGCAGAGCAGGTCCACATGCAGGACATTTTGCCAGTGTCCCATTCCTTGTGGCTCATCGTGACCCCTCAGCAGTTGGCTACTCTAGAAGGATCTTCCTGAGCAGGAAGGGGGCCAGGTCCGGAGCTGCATGTGGAGCACTTGGCTGTGTGCGGGCACAGTGTTTTCCGTGGTGGAGCCAGCCCTACCTTGCTTCTTGTTTCCATCTCCAGAAATGTGCCACCAGCTCTTGCTTCATCTTTGGCCTGTGAGGCAGTGTCCCAGCTGCTGCAGACAGACCTTTCCGAATTCAGGAAGTCGCCTGGGCAGGAGGAGGAGAATGACGATGAGGAGGAAGAGAAGAAGGCCCCTGTGACCCGTGAGTGCTCCCTCTGAGGGCACCTGTGCTTAGCTGGTGGCAGACACAAGATGGCTGGCCAGGAGCTGCAGGGCCTCCCGGTTTTGTTGCAAGGGCAGTGGTGGGTAGCACTGAGTGAGGGCTGCAAAGGAGCAGCACCAGGTGCCCTGGCTGACCGCGGAGTGGCAGAATCAAGACTGAATGAAAGCATCACACCAGGCTGAAGTTGGCGGGGGAGCTCAGTGACCTCCCACTGGTTAGCTAAGTAGTCCAGTTTTACGAGGGAGAACCTACTCACTCCCATTCACCTGTCCTCTGCCTCAGCTGACTTCGCCTGATGGTAAGGTGGCATTAGGAGGGAGATATGTGATCAGGCTCCCAACCTTGGGCTCTTACTGGTAAAAAATGCTGGAGCTTGGCCCTCCCTGGTGGCGCAGTGGGTTAGAGCACAGCAGTGAGAAGCTAAAGCCACTTCAGCATAAGTTCGATCTCCACCCTCGAGGTGCTCCACATGGCGAGGCAGACCTCTCCTGACCTGCCCACTGCTCCCCTCAGCAGTGTACTTCATTGATCTGCTGTTCTGCTCCCCACTCTGTCTCTGGTGAATCCTCTCACTGCCCCTACACCTCTGGCCTGTACCTCAGTTCTGTATGCATAAATAAATAAATCTTTAAAAAAATATGTTGCCGGAGCTTGACGAGTCTGAGAGGCTGGGGCCTTGTCGGTGGACACTCTCAGTGGTGTCAGGAGTCTGGTGGGCAGTGCCAGGGGGCCTGGTCTTTCAGCTTGCTTCTGGGGTAGGGTCAAGCAGGGGGAATCCAAGTCATGCCCAGGAACTCAAAAACAGGAGTGAGCCTCATCATACAGAAAAATACCAAGGGTCTTATTGTTAGGAGGCAGACTGAGGAGTACCCTGGACCCCCAAACTTACATGCTGTAGAGAGCATCTGCCATTGCCACATAAAGACAAAATATACTCTTTTATTTTAAAGATTTGTTTATGTATGCTTGCAAGAACTGGGGTGTAGGCCAGAGGTATGGGAGTGATAGGATTCATCAGAGACAAAGTGGGGAGCAGAACAGTTGGATCTACTGAAACACACTGCTGAGGGGAGCAGCAGGCGGGTCAGAGGAGGTCTGCTGTGCCATGTGGGTCACCTCCTGGCTGTGAGTCGAACTTTTGCTGCAGTGGCTGTGGGCAGCTTCATAGTGCCCATTGCGCCACCAGGGAGGGCCCCAAAATATACTCTTCATGTACAAAATAGAGTTAGTGTGCATAGAGAGAGAAGAAAGGATAATAGTTTCCCAGTAAAATACCCAGTCTCCCATCCTCTTGCCCAGCCAAGCAGGGTTGGCCCAAAACAGGGCAGCTGAGGTCTGAAAACTCACAAGTCTGAGGCACCTTCTGGCAAGAAACCACAGGATAGGGGCAGAAAGGACCAGGCAAGTCTGAGATGAAAGGAACAAAATCAAAGTAAAACCAAGATACAGGCTGTCATTGTCCACCTCCCTATGGGTGTCTCACCTGTTCGTCTCCTACTTCATGTCTTTCTGCCCACCTCCCTTCCCGCGTATTCTTCCACATCTTCTCTTCTAAATTGTTTGTCTCTATTCCTGGCTGTTCAGCCCTATCCTTCATTAGGGAATATGGAACCTCCCCGTTCTTTCACATCCCTAGTGACTCTTTTCTATTGTGTTTCACTGAAATGTTAGTTCATGTTGGGCCAGACTTGAGGAGAAAGCAAACCATTGGACCTGGGCTCTGTTTGGCCAGGCTTGGAGCATCAGGGAGTAGGCAATGGCTCCCTCCATGCTGCTGGCATTGCAGGGTGCTGAGAAATAGCCCCAGACAGGACCCAGCCCTGCCTCTGGGCAGTGGAAGCCTCAGGGTGGACTTCCGGTTGCCATGACCTACCAACTGGGTTGTTTCCCTATTTTTTGAGATCTAATTGATGTATAACATTGTATCACTTTAAAGTATACAATGTGTTGATCCATTTATATATTTAACATGATTACCATGGTAACTAGCCAAAACCTCCATCACATTGCATAATTATCATCTGCTTAATCTCCTCATTAGTGAAGGTGCTGGGGACCAAGGAAGGAATTGAGTGAGGCAAGAAGGGAAAGCATGCTGCTCTCACTGCAGTAATTGCCTCTTATCCTTGTCCTCTGCCCTTTTCCCTGACTTCCTGCCTTCATTTTCGCCTGGAAGGCACAGAGACAGCCCTGCACAGTGACAGGCAGCTATTGTCCTCTGCAAAGTCAGCAAGCTCTGGGGTCCCACAAAGAGGACACACCCTCGGCGCACACCCCTTACAGCAGGGAGTGAGCACCACCTCCTGGTGAGAAGGAGCAGTGCAGGGGCTGACAACAGCTGAACCTGACTCCTGGGGCCTCTGCTGCCAGGGGGAGTGGGTGAGAGGAAAGCAGCCTGCTCCTGCTCGCCTTGCAGCCTGGCTCTCAGCATTGGCCAGCTTATCCCTGTCATGGGAGCAGGACATAAGATCTGTTATCTTGAAGCTGTTCTTGCAAACTTGGAATCACAGAGGACACTGTAAGAGTCACCACCAGTGGGTGGAAAGGTGACTCAGATCTTTGTGTGGTCAGGTCAGATGGAGCCACCAGCTGGCCCCCTCCACACTGAACAGTCCTTGGGGGGTGGGGTGGGGGGGCGCTGGGATGCAGCCCGCACCAGGAAAACAGGCATCTGCTGTAAGCAGCATGCAGAGTCTGTCAGCTGGCGATCACTCCTCTTGCTGATCATCTCGTTGGTAATTACCCGTTGCTGGAGCAGAGATTCAAATTTAAACACGTTGATGGAAATAGCAGCACAGCCTAAGGCAAGAGAATAATGTGCACCTCCCTGGATATTTTAGACTTGATAGGCAGGCAGAGCCTGTTTTCCGGAGGGAGGGGGCAGGAGCCGTGAAACTGGGGTGGTGCTCTGAACACAGGCACAGGCCTAGGAGAGAAAGAGGCAGCTGGGGGCAGCATCACGTAGACCAGCTGAATGCGAGGTCTCTGGCTGGTCAGCAGGAGGCATGCTGGGCCAAGCTCAGGGACCTCTTCCCTGCGCTGGACCTTCCCACACAAACAACCTTGTAGGCTGACCATGCCAAACACCTGGATTTCCCCTGTGCCCTGGCCATGGTGGTGGTGGCCACTTCTGGACCCCCTGTCCTGATGTGTGGGTCCCTCGGCCTGCCTTCCTGTGGCCTCCTGGGCTCACAGATGTCCTGTGCCTTCTCTGGCCTGTCCCTTCTCCAGCAGCCACCACCTTTGAGCGCAAACTCTTCCATCTCCAACTCCCGGAGTTCTAGTGTGACCTGCGGTGGTCCTCAGACCCCACCCTGTTTGCACTTACTTCCCCCACCTAGTCACTTCCCCCATTTAATCACCTCACTTCCAGGTGACTTCGCCCTGCTCACCTGTGCCCCTCGGCATGTGGGCCGGCAGGACTTCCCGGAGGGGTTTGTGTACTGAACGGAGCAGAGCCTGAGGCAGGGCGCCTGGCCCTTCCTTTGGGCCCATTCCTTCTCATCCTCTCTTTAGAAGCCAGGCCTGAGTAGAATGCAGCCTTTACTTTTAAAATTGGTGTTACTTGGTATGATCGGGTATGTTACCTGTTTCTGGATAACAAATTGCCCCAAACTTTAGTGGTATAAAACAGTAAAAATTGCATTATCTCAGATGGTCTCTGTTGGGCTGGAATTTGGAAGGAAGCAGCTGAGTGGATGGTTCTGGCCCAGGCGCTCTCATAACGTTTGGCCAAAGGAAGGTGACCAGAGTGAAGCAGTGGTCTCTGTCCCTTGCCATGTGGACTTTCCACAGGGCTGCTTGAGTGTCCTCACAGCTCAGCGCCTGACTTCTCTGAGCCAGAGAGCCTTGACTGAAGGAGAAAGGGAAAGGGAGGATGAGCCAGACACAACAGGGAGAAGCCACAGCTCCTGGTCAGGACCATGGCTTAAGTCATTCTAGATCACTTCTGTTTTATTCTACCTGTCAGAAGCCGGTCCCTAAGTCCCCCCGCTCAAAGGCGAGGAATTGGAGCCACTGCTTGAAGGGAAAGAAGTATCAAAGGATTTATGGATAGATGTTAAAGCCATCACGTGGGGCCAACCCTGGCAATGGCAAACTGAGCAAGTATGAAGAAAGTGTGCTGGAGACAAAAGACGTTGCTCCGAGAACTGGCACCAGCAGACCTCCACTGCTGGCATTTTGGTTGCCTGCCCTTTTAATTTGGGGATCCCAGTGGTTGAAGGCTTTTTCTTGTCCTCAGGATCAGATGGTACATGGAGTTTTCTATCCTCTCCTACTCATGACATTTTCATATCCATGGTTTTTCTTAACACCACAACCTAGCACTTTCCATGATTGCAAACTCTGTAAATGTCCTTTTTGTCTTAGCCTTTAGTTATTTTAATAATCTTTATTTTGAGATAATGGTAGCCTGACACACAGTTGTAAGAAATAACACGGAGATCCCACACATCCCAGTTTTCCCCTGACTGTAATGTCTTGCGGAACTGTAGTAATAATCACGACCAGGATCTTGTAGTCAAGATACAGCACTGCGCCTTCCCACACAGATTCTTCTTTCCACATGGCTGCTGCAGCCACATCCCTAACCCCTAACAACTGCTGCTCTCCATTTTTATAACTGTTGTTTCAAGAATGCAAGGGTGTGGCTGCCTGGGGGTAGGGATGGGGCCGTCAGGTCAGGTCACGGAGCTGGTCTCCCCAGGGGTTGGCTTTTCTTTTCCTGGAGGTTTATCCAGGCTCCTGTGTGTATCAGTGTCTCCTTCCAGTAACCTGTGGCCTGATAGACCAGACCACCATTTGTTTCACCATTCACCTGAGGAAGGACCTCTGAAGCCAATCCTGGTTTTTGATTATTACAGACGCCATTGCTGTGAACATTCATGCACGGGTTTTTGTGTGAATAGTCTTAATTCTCTGGGATAAATGGCCAGGGGTGCATTTGCCAGGTCATATGGCAATTGTATGTTTCATTACAAAAATCAGTTTAATTCGTAATCAAGAGAATAAACCATAATTTACCTTGTCATTGGATATACCTTGTTTTTAATTGGTACACAATTACAAATGATTATGTAGTTTGACCTTAAATTAACCTGGCACTTCTCACAATTTCTTTGGGGGGCTTCCCAGAACGGAATTGCTCCATCTTGGGACTGGAGGCTCCTGGTATGTAACGCCAAACCAGACATTTCTAACCGCTGATGGCACAGACCGGGCTGCAGTTTGTTAGGCTGGAGCTCTCAGCACGCCCTGAGGGTGACGGGCTGTCAGAGCTTGTGCAGGCCTATGCCTGAGTGCTGCAGGGGCGGCGGGAACAGGGCAGGGAAGAAGTGGAGCCTTAGCTGGCCTCCGGCCTCCACCGGTGCTTCTCTAATTATCCCTCCATCTTGCTCTTCAGTGCTAGATGCCAAAGGCCTGGCACTGAGTTTCTTTAACCAGCTCTGGGAAGTGTGCAGTCAGTGGCAGAAGCAGGTGCCGGTGCCCGCCCGGGGTCCAGAGCGGCCACGGCTGATCTCCATCCACGCCATCCGGAACTCTCGCCGCAAGATGGAGGACCGGCACGTGTGCCTTCCAGCCTTCAACCAGCTCTTTGGGCTTTCTGTGAGTGTTCCACTTCTGGCACCAGGGCAGCCCTGAGGCTAGTGTCCCCAGTCAGGCCAGCCTGTGGGGACTTGTGCAGGGGAAAGAGCCCCCAGCTACTGAGCCAGCCAAAGGTTTCCCCTGGCAGGAGAAATGCCCATGACGGCTGTCTGCAGGTAAACTCTGGAGTTCTTCCTGGGAGCAGGGGAGCCGGGGCCCCATTCATTGTGCCAACACTTCTGGGCCAGGGCAGCCACAGCCAGCTTGCTGTCCCAGCTAAGGGGCTGAAGAAGGGAAATGGTTTGGGCAAGTCTGTTATAAAGGGAACCCCCAGACTTGTGATTACTGAGCCCTGACTGGGAGCCTTTAGCCAGGTCACGACCTGCATCCGCTAGAGTCCAGCAGCTCTGTGACTCCCACTGCATTCCCTGCCAGGACCCGGTAGACCGCGCCTACTTTGCCGTGTTTGATGGTCATGGAGGGGTGGATGCTGCCAGGTACGCCGCTGTGCATGTGCACGTCAACGCTGCCCATCGGCCGGAGCTGCTCACCGACCCCGAGACAGCCCTCAGAAAGGCCTTCCAGTGCACCGACGAGATGTTTCTCTGGAAAGCCAAGCGAGAGGTGAGAATCAACAGCAAAGCCTCCCTGTGTGGTTTTTGGGACCAGAGAGACCCCAGACCTATACAAAGGGAAGAGGATCAAAGTAACTGGGGGTATTGGGAGGTCACCTTAAACCACTGCTGCAGAGTATCATTTATCCATACAGGAAAGGGGGCTTGTGCTTCATTTGAGCAGGAGCATCATAAAGCTTACCTCTGATGCAGAAAGGCACAGCAAGCTGGCCCTGCCTCAAGCAGAGGGCCTGAGGCCTCAAGTGGCAGCTAGCCTACTTGCAAATGTGCCCAGGCAAAACTGCTCAGCTAGCTCTGTCAGTAGAGCATGAGACTTAAAATGTGCCCAGCATTTTGTTTTAATCAGATATGATAAGGTGACAGACACAGAAACAGCTGCCTTGAAAGAGGAGCTGTTCCCAAGAGGTAGGGTCACACCACCCCATGTGGGGCCGCACAGGGAGAGACCCTGGTCAGCCAGGAGAGAGGAGAGCATGACTCCGAAGGATGGCGTGGCACAGGCGTCTTCAGTCTGGACCAGCGTGTGCCTACAGGCCCCTCCCATCCCTCACAGCCACCTCTCTCTGCAGCGGCTACAGAGCGGCACCACAGGCGTATGTGCGCTGATTGCAGGAAACACCCTGCACGTCGCCTGGCTCGGGGACTCCCAGGTCATCCTGGTGCAGCAGGGACAGGTGGTGAAGCTGATGGAGCCACACAAACCGGAGCGACAGGTGAGGACCCCATGCTTGGGTTGCTCCCCCTCAGGTAGGCCCATCTGGGAAAGCACGTGTCCAGGATGCCCTGGCCAGTGGGGCTGGAATGGATCAACTAGTAAAGGAGGTGGTGGGCCATCTTCCCAGGAAACTCATGGCTCTCCTCCCAAGGGAGATCTCTGCTTCCCCACACCAGTGATTAGGGACTCTCTGAAAGCCGTCCGTAGACATTAACAGCCAGGACCCCAAATGAATCTGTGACACAACAGAGCTCAGAGCGCTAGGGGAGTGCTGGACCCTCTAACCTTCAGGTAACCCAGTAAATAGGGTCAACATGTGGCCTCCCATCATGCCTGTGGGCAAGAAGCAGCACAGCACTTGGGCTATGAGGGAGAGCTTCAGGAAGGCAGTGATGCAGAGCTGTGGCTGGAAGGAAACAGCCTTGAGGCTTCGTTGGGCACAGGCTATGCTAGGATTCTGAGGTCACTCACCTGTCTGAGACCAGGTTCCTCACCTGGGCAGCAAGACGACATTCCTGTTCAGACCACAACTCACGGAAGTATGGTTCTGTCTGTCTCCTCAGGGGGTTAGCAAGAGTTTGCACATCAGGGAGTGCCCCGATACCCCTCTGTGGTCTGTCCTGCTGCCTGGCCCTGCTGTTTTCACCTGGCCCTGCGTCATGCAGGTATTCCACGTCAGTACACAGGCACTCCACCTGGTGCAGGTGGCTGCTTTTCATGCGTTCCTGGTCTCTCTCATCAGTGGACCTTGAGAGTTTTTCAGTCTTGTATTAATAACAATGCAGCATTTAATAACTTGGGTGCCGCCTTCATTGTTCAGGGTCAGGTATGCCCGTAGAGCACATTCTAGACATGGGAGAGCTGGTCATCGTGTACGTGGTTGCAGTCGGCAGATTTGCCAAACCGCACCTCTCAAGTTCTTCCAGTCTGGCGCTGAGCCCCAGGTAGTCCATTTCCCCACAGGTCCCCTGATCTGCAGGATCCTGTCCCTAGGACAAGGGAGCGGTAGTTTTTGAGCTGCGCTTCTCTTTCAGATTAATGCTGAGAGTATTTGCTTTGCCTTTCCTGAGAATGCTCCATGCCTAGCCTTTGCCCATTTTTCTCAGGAGCTGTGGCCCTCAACACTTTGTAGTTATCTGGTGTATATGAAGGAGGTCGGCACCTTGTCTATTCAGTGGCCTGTAATCATCCCCCAAGCAATTTCTCTTTGTTTATGGTTTGGTTTTGGTTTTTTGCCACAGACATGTTTTTAATGTAATTGGATGGAGCTGCCTTTTTCTTTGGTGGTTTCTAGATTTTGAAAGTACTGCAGAGAATATTAAGCCATGATATCCAGTGTTCCCCTGCCTCCCTGAGGCTCAGCCTGTGCTAAGCCTCCTTCCACGCTCCACATTGTGCAGCAGCAGGAACATAGGCTCACAGAGGTTAGCAGCTCACCCAGAGCATGCAGCCAGAAAGCAGCTGGTACCCCAGCATGCAGCTTAGGCACTCAGCCCTCCTGTCCCGAGATACGCCTGCAGGCAGCCTCAGTTAGCACTAGATGTAAGCCTCCATCAAGTGCTAGGCAGGGGGGTTGGAACCCTGCCTGCAACCCTGCGAGCTCTGTGTCCCATGTCTCCTCTGGGGCTCCCTGGGGGCTTTTCCGAGGGGGTGTCTTCCTAACACTGCCTGAACCTTATACCATGGCACCGTGGCAAAGAGCATGGACTGGCAGCACCACTTTTCCTGGCTCCACCCCTCTGCAGCCATACGTACCTTGTCTGAGAGACAGGGTTCCCAGGATGTAGAACTAGCGGCCTGGTGCACACACATCCCTGAAACAACCAAGAAGCAAGCTCAGTCTGACTTCTCAGAAGTCTGCAACCCACACAACTGCAAACACTAGAGCCAGCTTCAGCCAGACTCCTGCCTCCTATTCCCAGCTGACCAAGCTATTGCTTCTGTCCCTCGCCCTCTGATCCTGACCTCAGCCTGACACCCACACAGAGAGCCAGTCAAAGGTTCTCCTATGAAAATGCCCATTACCGTGTTGACTTACAGTGGAAACTGGTAATGGCCTGGTGAGGGTCTGGCAGCTGCTGATACCAGCTCTAAGGAGGATGTAGGGACTCGTGTCACTCTGCTTTGTTCTGAACAAGTCTCCTGTGCCGGGTTTATTCCAGGGCTGTGAACATTGAGTGCCTGCTCCGTGCAGGACTCTGCAGGACAAGGCAGTGAGCCATCCAGCCCCTCTCGGTCTAATGGGCAGGTGAGAGCCGCAGTGCAGGGATAGTGCCAGGAAAAGCAGAAGAGGGAGGTGAAGGGGAAGGAGAATTAGAGTGAGCTGTGAGGGCAGGTATGACCCCAGCAGACCAGGGATAGAATCTGGAAGGAAAGAGTAAATTAAGCCAGGACTGGTCCCAGAGAACCTCGCGGCATGTTGTTCCTTTGGCAGTAGGAACTTGATAAGGAGTAGCTAAAAGCTTCCAAAGGCAGGGCGCTCCCTGGTCGGGCCCTCCCTGTGGTGCAGTGGGTTAAAGCATGACACTGAATCTCAGCAGCTTCACCACGGGCAAATTCAATCTGGGAGGTGACCCAGGTGGTGTAGGTGCAGCAGGCCTCTCCTGTCTTCGCCTGCTGCTCCCCTCAGCAGTGTACTTCATCAGTCTGCCTGTTCTGCTCCCTCTTCTGTCTTGGGTGAATCCTCTCACCACTCCTACAAATCTGGCCTGTTCCCCAGTTCTGTGTGCATAGATAATAAGTCTTTAAAAAAAAGCTGCCAAAGAAGGCAAAATGAGGGCTGGTCATAAAAGAGACCTCTCTGCACTCACCTGGCAAGCTGTGGGATATCTACCTGGCAAGGTGGTACCAGGAGGGGCAGAGGAAGGAGAGGCGGGTTAAGGCTTTGGAGGTGGAAAGGGCATCTGAGTGCACGGTGATGCTATCAGCCAGGGGCCAGATAAGGTGAATGTTCCCCATGTGTGCAGGGCGGGCGGGAAGCTCCGTGGAGACCGGCAGGGTTAGGACACAGGCTTGGGGAGTGTGTGAGTCCTGTCAGAAATGAGACAGAAGCCAGAAGAGCACAGCATGGTGGCAGACCCAATGGGGAGGAGCAGGAATGACCGAATACAGTGCGGGGAGTTGAGGATGGGGGGTTCACTGGGTCCAGGATGGCTGCAGGAGAGGAAATGACTGTGCAGGGACCCTCAGACACAGGGCTTTGCTGAGCAGATCCATACTCCAGGGCAGTAGGAAATGGCTCTTGGGGACCTACTAAGCAGCAGCTCTGGACTTGACCTTGGAGAAGCTGTTTCAGGCAGGAAGGGAGGAAGAAATGGAAGGGCAGCTGAGGAGGTAGGTGTCCAAGGAGTCAGGAAGGAGAGATGTGGGTACCCTGAGCCCCTTGGATCCGGGATGATGACAGAGGAGGACAGAGGCTTGGCAAGGGTGGAAGGTAAGGTCCAGGGAGAATGAGAGGTGGGGACAAGCTTGAGTGGGCTGAGAGGAGGCATAAGGATTGAGTGCCTGCTTCAGTGTCTGCTGACTGGGCCCTGCGGCCAGCCAGCCTCATGAGGCAGAACTGAGCTGTTGGTCAGAGCTGCCATCAGCTGCTGACCTAGGATTACTTAGGGCCATGCGATCCAGGGCCCTCCTGCCCTTCTGCTCAACCCGATGCCCCCTGCTGGCTGAGAAGCCCAGGCGCCAGACTCCTTGACCTCTGTGGGATCCCGAGTGACAGGGGGCACCTGTCCCCACTGGTCATCTTTTAGGAGGGGCCATGCTCCCCAGGAGCACTTCACAGTTTACCCTCAGTTACCACTGCCCACTGTCCGTGCCTCTTTGACATTGAGGTATGGGGGTTAGGCGGGAGCTAATGGGTGAAAAGCAAAAGAAAGTCTCATTATTCTCAGCTGAATCTTCCCACAAACATAAGTTGGGGTTGCCCTTGGGGCTTAGGGAAGCCCCTCATGTTCTCATCCCAAAGGAAGGCCTCTGAGGGGTGGGGTCCAGGCAAGGGTCCAGAGGTCACTCCCTTCTGATCTACAGGCCCATGTGTGCGTATCGCCCCCCCCCCGCCTCTCCCCTCACTCCTCAACCTGCCTTCCCCTCCATCCTTGCCTTTCTCTGCTACTCTCAGACCACAGTGGGTTCTCAGACCCAGAGGGAGCCATGCATGCAGGTCAGGACTCCTTAGAAACTGTGCTCTCTCCCAAGGGGGCTCTGTCTAGGCAGAAGGGCCCTCGGTGGTCCCACTGAGAGGAGGCTGGGCTGGTGTTCCAGGCTGCCCAGTGGACTCTGTCCCCACCATGGGGGGAAATCCTGCTGACAAAGCTGGTGCCCAGCAGACTCGTGGTGCTTTCACTCTGAGAGGTGGAAGGAGCTTTGAGGAAGGAGAGGGGTCAGGGAATGCCCTGTAGTGTCAAGAGGCTTAAACCTTGCTTTGCTTTGTTCATGTAAAGCAGACAGGTGAAAAAAGAGGGCTAGCACTGGCCCTTCCTCCTGGCGTGGAGATGTACCCCCATGGTGTGTGTGCCATCAGCAGGTGCTGTGATGAATGTCTTCAGGTTCACAGCCAGGAAACCTCTCCTTCGGGGGGAGCTTCCTAGGACCAGAGAGGTTTTTAGCAAGCTCATGACTAGACTGGGCCTCTGACCTGGCCTCTTAGGCCTAAAGCACCATTGTCATTTGTGGTTGAAAACAAACTAGGACCCAAGGCACAGGGATAGACCAGGGCCTCGTTCAGGTTTCATCTAGCTTTGCCAAGGGACTGCACAAATCCCATGCAAATCTCACTTTCCCAGCCTCTGAGGCAGGAGGGTATCCCTGCGTGAACAGGCAGGCAACTGCAGGACCTGCTCTCTGGCTCATGAGAAGCTCCTGACCCTCAAACACCGCTCAGGGGGGTCACAGCCCTGAGCCACAGGTGGTGTGCACCATGACCTATTTAGCCATGCTGAAGGATGTTTAGGTTGCTTCTAATGTTTCACTTTACCAATGCCTCACCAATGCCTCATCCTTCAAAAGCCATGACTCCCAGCGCTGTCTTAGAAACCAGCTGGTTTCTCTGGCCACACAGCCAGGCTCGCCCTCTGGCTATCTCCCACAGGATGAGAAGGAGCGCATCGAAGCACTGGGCGGCTTTGTGTATCACATGGACTGCTGGAGAGTCAATGGGACACTGGCTGTCTCCAGGGCCATTGGTAAGGAGGCTGGAGGGTGGGGAGGGTTGTTGAGGCCACCCAGGGCCTAAACCTCTTGACCTGGAGGTCTGCGGCTCACCCCACTGTTTGGGACTGTGATGTCCTGTGTGATACACAGGGTCAGACTGTGAGCTTCTGTGGTGAACACTGCAGATGCAGATACCTTAGACACTCGAATCTCACATAAATTACTGCACTTAAAGGTAGATGTTCACTATCTTTTATTAAAGGTAGATGTTCACTATCTTTTATTAAATTACTGCACTTAAAGGTAGACGTTCACCTGCTTAGCTGATAGATAATTTTTAAATATTCCATAAATGAGGTTTATTCCCCTCCCCGTATTCATGTTGCTGATTGCTTTTTCTTTTAAGAAGAAAGTAATAAAAGCTTCCCACTCCTCTGCCCGCTCCCATCCTGTTGTCTCAGCCTCCTGTCGCTACAGCCAGACCTCAGCCCGGCACTCACCTGCCGCCTTTTCCCTCCAAGTACAGGATCCCCTGCTAGCCAGAAGGACAGCATTTCTGTGGAGACTTTTTTTTTTAGCTGAAATGGTATAAAGAATAGAAACAACATTCATTTAGGCAGAAAAACGTTTGAGTGTCCCCAACCTGAAAAATTACCTACCAAATCATCAGACACCAAAACCGAAAGTAACACTAGCATATAGTAAAAGCAGGAATGATATGATCAACACACAGCCTGTTTGGCATCGTCCTGGGGAGCAGCTTGGCGGGGCCACTCTCGCTGCTCGGCGCACTCGCTGCCTCTGGAACCGCTGCCACAAAGCAAAGGCTTAACACTTTTTCCTTTTACAACTGTAGTTGTAAAAGCAAAAACCCTCTTTGGATTTCTTTTAGGTAGCAAAAATAGGTGTGCACACATAGGTCTTTCATGAAAGTGAAGCAGTCTAACAAAACTTTGGAAAACGGGGGGAATCGTGTTCCTAGAAATCCCTCCGTCCTGCTGACCCTGCAGTGAGTGGAGCTGTTCCTCCCTGCCTCCGGAGACATCTTTCTTTCTTGCCAGAGGTGGTGCCTTTTTTATAACCCTTTTTGCTGCTCTGCCTTTGTGTCTCTGGATACAAGGTGATGGGGAACAGTGGGTTCGGCTCCTCTGTGTAGATAGAGCCCTAGAAGGGTGAGGCCTCTCTTCCAGGAGAGCAAAGCACAAGGTGGCACTGTGTGAGGCAGCATGATCTGCTTCCCACTCTCTGCTTCCCACGTCACGCTTGAAAGCATGCACGAAGGGGACAGGGCCCACTAGGAGCTCTCCGGGATCTGGGGAAGCCATGAGGAAAGAGAGGTGGATTCACGTTGCAGACGAAGTCAACATTTGCTAGCAGATTGGATTTGTCTTCTGGGCCTGAGGAAGACAATCAGAGGTGGCCCCCAGATTTGGGTGCAAGGAACTAGTGGGACCGTGGTGCCATTTTCTGTGACAGGGAGACTGGAAGATCCGCTTCCAGGAAGAAACTCTGGACCAGTTTTGATTAGGTGTCCAGGGAAGGTATCACAAGCTCTTGGATATGGGGACCCGTACCCCAGCCAGGCCTGGGGGAGTCGTCCTCCACTGCAGTGGCCCATCCCCTCTGCTTGGGGACCAACTCCACTGGAAGGAGAAAACTGCTTTGCGGAGCGCTTTGGACCTTGCTGGGTTCTAACTCCATCCTCAGGGACACAGTCAGTCTGTCACATCAGCCACTTTTTGTTTCTTCACTGCTCTTCACACCTTAGGAAATTACCTTTTCCCCATGTCCTCACTGTATGAGCACGGCCATTGCGGGAGGGTGGGGGGCAGTAAGGCCGGGCGTGGGGGAACAGCAGCAGCACCACCTGTGACACCAAGCGCTTTTCCCCTTTGCCCAGGGGACATTTTCCAGAAGCCCTATGTGTCTGGGGAAGCGGATGCATCCTCCCACGAACTGACGGGCTCCGAGGACTACCTGCTGCTGGCTTGCGATGGCTTCTTTGATGTCATCTCCCACCAGGAGGTCGCTGACCTGGTCCAGGGCCACCTGGTCAGACAGGAGGGCAGCGGGCTGCATGTGGCGGAGGAGCTGGTGGCTGCGGCCCGGGAGCGGGGCTCCCACGACAACATCACGGTCATGGTAGTTTTCCTCAGAGACCCCCAAGACCTGCTGGAGGGCAGGGCCCAGGGGCCTGGGGACTCCCGCGCAGAGGGGAGAAGCCAGGACTTGCCCTCTCACCTCTCAGAACCAGAGACCAGCATTCCACAGAGAAGCTAGGAGGTGCAGCCCTCTCCCCACGCTCCCATCCTGTGATCTTCCCTCTTAGGACCAGATGCCTTAGGACCCAACAGGCAACAGTGAGCAGGCAGGTACCACCTGCACAGCAGTCTCCCCGGGGACCCCTGAGCCTCCCATGCTGCTTGCATCGGCCCCTCCTGGCAGGTACAGAACTGCATTGGGCATTGAGTGTCACATCCTGCTCAAGACAGTGGGACAGCCAGGGAACTCCAGGGAAGCTTAGGGAAGAGACCTCACCAAAGAGAAGTCCTGGAAGTGCCCATCGGGCCGGGTAGGGTCAGAGGTCACAGGCTCTGGCCAAAGGCCAAAGACACTGGGTATGAGCGTGGGACGACAGGATGTTGCGGATGGAGACCTGAGGCAGCCTGGGAGCTCCAGATGTTTTCAAGACATCCCGGTGTCTGCTCTTCACTGGCCATGCCTGAGGGTGTCGTATCTGTTTCTACAGGTGTATCTGGAGGGTCCTGGCTAGCCATGTGGTTTTCCACAGAAGAAGAGGGGCCCAGGGATCTGGTCTGCCGGCTCACCCACATGCTTCGTAGCAGCTGAACACATGGGCCCTGGTCTTCAGATCCCTGCTCCCCTCTTCCCGCCAGGGAGTCAGACACTCGGGACCACAACGTGCATGTCTTTTGTTTGTGGTCTTTTTCTTCCTCCAGGGAAAGGTCTAATTCAGAAGCAGTATTTCAGGTTTTGTCTATGTTTTGTTGGTGCCAAGATGACCTGTTGTGTTGTATAACTTAAGCAGAGCTTAGCATTTATTTTATTCTTTAGACAAAGTTAAGTATTGATATTTTTAGGGAAATTTTTTTGCAGTATTACTGAATTTTTTTGTTTTTCTAGATCAGGATTGAAACAAAATCTCTTCCAGGAGGTGTTACAAGCCATTCAAGTGCCTTAACCACTGTAGGTGAGGCGAGGACTCTGACAGGGCGACAGGTTCTAATAGGCATGTTAAGTTTTCACAAAAGTAGGATTGACTTTGCGGCATGATTTTAACTAGAATTCTTCCTGAAAGAGTTCTCTTTGCCTCTTTGTGATGTGCCACTGATAGTCAGTAGAGTGAAGTGACCCCCGAGAGTGTGAGGGCTGTGCCAGACAGCAGGGCTCTGGGGATCTGAGGTGCCCATGGCCCCCTTGGCCACCTTACCCAGCCCGGCCCGGCCACTCATGTCTCTGGCTGGACCATAGGCTAGGTTCCCAGCTCCATGAGGCCAGTCCTTGCTCCTATTTGACTAGAATGTTCCAGAATGTCTTGTGTATTGGTAGTCAAATTGGTTTTGTTTGGAAACATGTTTAAGAGACTCTGGCAAGGCCTGAAGCAGCCTGTGGGTCTCTGGACCTGTTGGGTTCTGTCCCCTGCTCCCATACTGCAGTCCCTCACCGCATGATGGCCTGCTTTGTCCCCAGCTTGACCAGCTGTGAGAGAACCCCACATTCCCCATACCCCAAGGAGATGAAACTCAGAATTCACAGGGTTTCAGTGACTTCAGTGAGGCAGACCTGATGTTTGGAAATTGAGTGTGGCAAAATTTGAGTCTGGGTGAGGGCTCCAGACAGAGGTCGGGGGTCTTTGGTTGGGTACACCTGGCCTGGTAGAGCCCAGTGTGTCTGAGAAGGGGGGGAATCTTGAGGGAGGGGGGGTAGTGGGAGGAAGCTTGGCTCAGGCCCCAAGCTTCTGTGAGGTATTCAGTCACACCTGGCATCAAGGCCCCAGAACAGTCTGTACACGACACATACTGACTCTGTCCCACTGCAGTGAGGCGAAGAGTTGCTGCCCTTCCTGAGGTCAGTGGGCTGCCCAGCAGAGTGGGGAGCGTACCTTTGGTTGGGGGCAGGAAGGGGGTCACTGTCTGCAGTTTTTACCACCCCAGTTTTTACCCTTTGCCACCCCCACTCCACATCAGGGATGAGAAAGTTGCAGTGATGCAGTGCACACCTTGTGCAAGGGCTCATGCTAGCAGGCATCTTAAACACGTCCTCAGAATTCAGAGGCACAGCGTGGCCGATGATGACCAGGTATTGCTCAGCTCAACTTGAAGCCCCTGCTGCCTTCCAGTACCCAGAAATCTCCATGTCAGCTCCTTGCTGCACAGGGCTGAGGTAGGGCATGGCCTGTCCTCCCCAGCCAGCCCACTATCTGTGGCCTGACCTTAATGGAGGGCACTCTGGGCATGTTTTTCTCTTTTCTTTGCTTATTGATTCAATAGATTGTTGCCCAGTGTGGAGCTCCCCAGTATACTGGCTCCGCCCCAAAGTCTGGGTTGCACCACTTGCTGATCTGATTCCTGCCGGTGAGGTCCTATGAGGCAGTCTCCAGGCTGACCATTCCCCAAGCCCGGCTGCTGGGATGGAGGCCTCCCCTGTCCTGGCTGCCTGGAAAAAGTCTGCTGTCAGGAGCCAGCCCTGAGTCCATGCCTTGGAGCTGAGGAGGCCCTTATTCCTGCTCAGCTGCATGGACAATGGCCTTAGCCTGGCACTGGGCACAGAGGCAGTCTCTTCTGTCTTGACCAGGGTTGAGCTGGGCTCACTCCCTTTCCAAGCCTCAGTCCCAAGACTGAGTCCTTGGCAGGGACACTGGTAAGGAAACCTTGATCCCCATCTCAAGTCTCTGCTGAGCCACTGCCCCATTGCATGAGCTGGGCAAGTCCTCAGTTTCCCATCAGGCACAGGGGTTTCCCTGAGTTCTGGAGGTTCTGGGGAGAGCTGGCTGCATCCTGGGGAGATGCTGCCGGTGCTGAGGCCCTCCCCCACTGCCAGCAGGAAGGGTGATTAAGTATTATTAGTTTCTATTCTTAAATTAAGTGGGTTGGAAAGGAATGGAGGTACAGATGCCAGCGCCTTATATGGAACGTGAAAACTGGAGGAATCCGGCCCTGTGTTCACAGGTAGGGCTGTTCCCAAGCCAGCGGTGGTGGAAGAAGCTCAGGTGTGAGGCAGGAGAGCAGGTGTGGGAGAGCAGAACTGGCCTCTCCCGGCTGCCTGTTAGTTTTCCAGTGCTCTGGCTTCCCAGAAGTCTCCCCCATCCCGCCTGTCCCCATCCAAGACTAGGCAGTGGGTGGTCAGAAACCCGGGGTCCCCGTCTCAAGTCTCAGCTGGGCTACTGCCCCATTGCATGAGCTGGGCAAGTCCAAGTGCATCTCTCAGCCTCGGTTTCCCTTCAGGCACAGGAGTTGCCCTGAGTTCTGGAGGTTCTGGGGAGAGCTGTATGCTCTTGGGGAAGGCAACACGGAGAAGCATGGCTGCAGCCTCCCTCCCTCTCTCCTCCCAGGCCAGCACAGCCCTGCCACCCCCGGCCCACAGTGCCCGCAGTGCCATTTCTGGTATGGGTGGCTGGCTGCCTCAGCAGTATTACTAGAAGTGGGGGCGCAACACAGACCACGCCAAGGTCTGAGCTCAACAGAACCCAGTTGGAGCTGTACAAAGTAAACTGTGTTTTGGGTTGACCCTGCCTGTCGCCCTGAGGCCAGCCACAGAAGGCCTCTGCTTCTCATCAAGGTTCTACAGCTTTGCCAAATGCACAGAGCTTTGCCTTTTACACACCATGCCCACCTTGCCAAGGATTTACCTGTGCCCCTATTGATGGGGTTCCTGGGAATTGTGCTCTTTGCAAGGGGGAGTCTTGTTCCAAGGCAAGATGACTGTTTCCCCGTCTTTAAGGACAAGTCCCAACATGAGGGGACCAGAAGGGTGGTCTCCCGGGGACCTCTGTGCTTATGTGTCAATAAACCACAAATTCTAAAATTCTGTTGCCATGTCCTGAGTCCGGCCTTCTTTTGCCTCTGGACACCTAGTGTCTCCGGGTGTCCAAGGTGTGTGTGGGGTGCCAGGTGGGTGAGTGGATGGGGGTGAGAGGCCCAGGACCTGGTTATCCATCTCTGAATCTCCTTACAAGTGGAACAGACATTCTGAAGAGCCCTGCCGGCCTGTGGCCTCCCCTGCATGGCCCGAACTGATTCTTATGCCTGGGCTCCCAGCCCACCAGCACCAGCAGCCAGCAGCTGTGTTCACTGTGAGCCAATGCAGGGGTCACGGGGGGGGAGGGCGGGGGGGGGGAGGCTCCTTGTGAACCAGTAGGTGGCCCAGGGAAAGTGGGTAGAGATGGTCCTGGCATAACGCTCAGGGACACCAGGAAGTCTCCTGCTCCTGGCGGAACTCAGACCTTATGGGACAACAGTACTTATCAGAAGTACCTCCCTGTGGTTAGTGCTGAGCTACACCCCTAGAATGCTACCCTAAGCCTCCACAAAATACAAGAGTGTTTGGGGTTAGTTGGCCAGCTAGCCTGGTTGCTGCCTCCCTGCCTCCCCTCACCCCTTCTCTGGGCATACTGCTTGCCTGTGCTGCCCACCCCCCCCCCCCAACACCTAACTTGTGCTAGTCCTCCCCGTACCACCCCTGAGAGCTTTCAGTCCCCCTCCTGCTCCAGGTGGCCTGGGACGGTGGTCTCCCATCTTCCAGAACACAGCAAGGGAGGCAGCTTTCTTTCTGTCTCCAAAGGAGGGGGTGGGGGAGGCTGGAGCTCCCAACCAGGTCCTGGGCCTCCCACCCCACCCACTCACCCATCTGTCTTCCTCCTACCCCGCCTCCCCTGAGCTCCAGCAGGATCTGCCCTGCAAAGCCTTGTTCTTAAGTATATGCTGTCTTGATTGTTCTCTGATGAATTGCCTCATGTGTCTGAATCTCATTGCCACAGCCAGATGGTGACTGCTCACCCCACCCCCACTGTCACAGAACTTGGAACTGGGAGAGCACTGGGTGGGGGCCTGAGGGAACGGGCACACTGGATGAGACATGGGCTGAGCAGCCCACAGCTGAGTGGGCGTCACCTGCCGGACTAGGCCCATGACATGGTGATGGCAGGTGGGGGCGGGGGCCAGAGGACTAGTCAAAAATTAGGTGGGCGGGGGTGAGACAGGCAAGGAGTGTGCCCAGGGCAGAGGGGAGGGGAGGCGGGAGGCAGCAACCAGACATCAGCCAGTCTGCTGCCAGCACGGACACAAACCTGCTTCCAGAGTCCAAGCTGAGGACGCAGGTCTGCCCTGGGGGGCTGGGCAGGGAGGTGGGGAGTGGAGCCTCTGTGGTAAGGCAGCTTCCCTCTGGAACAGGCAGTATGAAGGCAGAGTGTCAGAAAGCAAAAATCAAAAGCCTCCCCTAACTTTTGCCACTTAGGTAGGGCAAGAAAACTTTCTCTGAGCCTCTGTTTTCTCACCTGCAAAAGGAGGTGATAACCTCTCCCTCCCAGGGTTAAGTTAAGAACTGAATCACTATATCAGATGAGGAGGCGGTGCTAGGATGGATGCTACAACCTTGACCTTGAGAGTTCACTCCTCTGCCTGGGAGTGACCCGGATCTTTTCTCTGTCAATGACTAGAGAGGACCCATCTCTGCTTCCCCATCAGTGGGCCACAGAGCTACCAGGCAGGTTCAAACTTGTAAAAGACAAAGCTACCCAGCTAAGGCTTCAGCTGAGATGGTCGACACGTGCCCCTTTTCTGGGGCTGAGGTTGAGGTTCAGTGTTACAAGCTGCATTTTAGCATTGACCAGTGGTGGCAGGGAGGCAGCTGACTCAGTCATGGCCAGAGCATAGCAGAGCCCAGACAGCTCCTTCCAGAAAGAACTGGGCTGCTTCACCTCTACTGTCACCCAGGAAACTGCAGGATAGCTGTGTGTGTGTGTGTGTGAGAGAGAGACAGAGAGAGAGAGAGAGAGCACGCGGGAGCTGTGTAGCTGCTCATGTGGTTGAGTCAGAATAGAATAGATCTGTTAGAAATCAGGATTTTGCATGTGCTGGCAATCAGGCTTAACTGTTCTTTCCTGTAATCTTACATTTCAAAAGGTGATCAGTTGCCTCATTTAGAAGGTGAAGACACAGTCAGCAGAAGGTAGGAGCGTGAGGCCTCTGCCATGACGAGCAGAGGGTGTGGCGTGGTGAACCTGCCACAGAGGACCACTGAACCCAGGATTTGTTCTCAGTTCTTGCTTAGTAACACCCTCATTTGTCTCTGGAGGGGGTTTGGGCAGCAGTTGCACTCTCGTTTTAGAAAAGCTTCTGGGAAGGTAGATTTGTTTAAAGGTGTTTGTTAGGATTTTACAAACCAGGAAGGGTCCATACCGCATCTACAGCACATGCAAATAGGATATTTCAGTTTATTAAAGGGACTTACTAAGTGTTAGAAACCCCAAGGCACAGAGCAGAGCCAGTGAGGGGGTATCACCCTCCCTGGGCCTGGAGGGGTAACCAGAGAACACCCTGCAGGAACTGTGAGGGTTGTCACCAGCCAGCTGCAAACCTGTGGGAAGGAACTGGAGAATATAATAAATACTCTGAACTTGCTCTTCTCCCTCCCCAAACTCTCCCCTTACTTGTAAGAGTAAGCAAATATATTAAGGGTAGTGGGAACCAGGATTTCCCATTGCTGGAAATACAAATATAAATATGAAATATAAATATGAAAGAGGGAAGGTGAGGAAGAAACCTGAAGAATTAGAGCTTCCATGAGAACTATATGACTAATATATGTGCATATGCCGTGTGTGTGCTTTTTCCATAGTTCTGTGCACTCAGAGGGCCTAGAAGCAATGTCATGCCATTTTAGCAACAAGCACACAAAGCACCCATATCTTGATTTCTAAACACCATCCTACACCAAACGGAATTAGGACTCCTCAAACATATGGCTAGTTCCCAGGATGGGAAACCCGAGAAGTCAAGTATCCAAAGTGACATGCTTCAAAGAGATAGGAGACAACCAGAGGAACTTTCAATGACCAAGTCTGGACAATTGGAGCAACAAAATAAAAACAACAGACTAGCGAATAACAGGAATCCATGAGTCCATATTGATTAAGAAGAGAAAGCTCTTCCTTTCAGGGAAAAACCAACTGATAGTTGTAGAAAGGGTGATAGAAATAGAGAAAACACTGTGTGGATAGATTCAGACAGAAGATTTCATAGCTGCTATAAAGCTGGTGGGTGAAGGTTTCATGAGAAATAGAGTATTGCAAAATGTAGAGTGCATTTTCTGAAATAGCTTTCAATAAAATCTCCCCACGCACACTCCTCTGCCACATGCCATCAGGTGAGAAGTCCCCTCCCCTTGAATCTGAGCACACCACAGAGACTCACTCATAATCAATAGAATGTGGCAGCAGTGACACTGTGCCCTCTACGGCCAAGTCAGAAGATCTTGCAGCTTTTGCCTTTATCTTGTGGAGCACCCCACACCTAGATTGCTCCCTCTCAGGACTTGCTGTAAAAAGACCAAGATGTGGCACAACAGGTTAGGTGCAGCACTAGGAAGTTATCTGCAGCCACTGCAGCATAAGTTCGATCCCCAGCCAGGGAGGTGACCCCCACATGGCACAGCAGACTCTCCTGTTGCACCCACTGCTCCCCTCAGCAGTGTATTTCAGTTGATCTGTCTGTTCTGCTTCCCACTCTGTCTCTGGTGAATCCTCTCACCCCCCACCCCCACACCTCTGCCTGTACCCCAGTTCTTGTATGCATAGACAAATAAATCTTAAAAAAAAAAAAAAAAAACAAGAAACAAGGAAAAGCCACATGTACATGCACATGTATATCAACCACCCCAGCCTATGTGCCATCTTGAATGTGGATCCTCTAGCTACTAGCCATTTGAGGCACTTCTGGATAGTTCAAGTCATTTCAGCTGAGGCCACAGATGATGGAGAAACAGAGACAAGTCAAACTGTGTGTCTTGTCTGAACTCCTGACTCACAAGATCTATAATCACAATAGAATGGTTTTGTGATAATGCTGTGCCCTGGAGTCACTTATTAGGAAAATATAGGCAGCTGGAGTATTTGGCATGGTCTCAAATATCTCCCCACAAAATTTTCAGGCCATGTGAAAGAGAAACTGTGACTTTGTGGTGGGCAAGCCTGGCAGACAGCAACTTGACCACAGAATCAAGTTTCCCATTACTAAGCCAGATTACCATGATGATCAAGTTATCACTGTGATATGCAAAGAGCAATACAGCGCCATTTCAGCATTATTCATCCAGAAATGGACATGCTGGGGCTGGACATGAGGAACATTAAACAGAATCCAAGTGGAGCAAGGCAAAACAATTTTCTGTGATGCTTTTAAGTACGTACAACCTTTGTCTTTGATTATTTTGAATTCAAAAGAAAAGAATGGGGCCCTCCCTGGTGGTGCATTGGGTTAAAGCACAGCTAGATGCAGCTGCTTCAGCTTGAGTTCAGTCTGGGCTGGGGAGGTGGCCCACAAGGTGCAGCTCACCCACTGCTCCCCTCAGCAGTGCACTTTGTCAATATACCTGTTCTGCTCCCCACTCTGCCTCTGGTGATCCTCTATCCACCACCCATGCACCTCTGGCCCAGATCTGTCTGCATAAACAAATAAATCTAAAAAAAAAAGAAATATATTTAAAAACAAAAGAATGAATGTAATTGTAAAATTAAAACCAGATGTACTATATTCATATAATACATATAAAACATATTTTAATTTTTTTTGTGGAAGAAGCAGCCACAAATGAATATGTGTCTACGACTTAGAAAAATCATAATGCATCCCTGGGTAGGCCCATGCTACAGAATGAACTGTGTTGGTTAAAATGGAATCATCACTCTCTACTCTGTCTCTCCCACTAAATGCAGTTATAAAACCTAGATGCAGGCTTGTGCATCCAGCTGAGGACTCTGAAAGTAAATGACAGTGGTTAAGATTACTAGAATCCTAAGTATGATTGAACCAGTGATGAATCCCCCGTTTTCTCTTCCAGTATCACCAATCTAGAGTCAGTGCA